GGGAGCAGAGAAAAGAAAAGGCCGTGGTTTACTTTGTGGAACCGTGAGAAATGTGGCGCGACACATTGTATGTGTGGAGCATAAGGGGTAGGTCAGTGGTAGGACTTAAAAGGTATGAAAAACCATTATGAATTTGGGGAACAACTTGTAGCCTGATCGTTACAGCAGTTCAGAAATAGACCCCCCAAGTTTAAAATAAGTTGATGGAAAGAGAAGCAGCACTTTGTAGAAAGTACGGAGCCGTGGCTTTCGGCCTAGCCCTCCCACCTGAACAAAGCTCACATGGGGGACGGGTTCGCTCAGCTGCAGGCCCACTGCCTGGGTCAGTCACATCAGTCTCCACTGCAAGTGTCTGCAGGTGGGACGGTGGCATCTGACACAGCCTCAGGGAGACCTCCCTCCCCCACGCCCCCCTCACCTCAAGAGCTACAGCTCCACTACCACCCTTTGTCAGAGCAGCGCAGGCGTGTGTTGCTTTTTCTCCAACATAAAAGACCCTCTAATGTAAATGCAGATTTTAATAAACAGATTTGTAAAGAAAGGCAGGTAATTTTTATATGTACAACCCAAACACTGCCTGGTTCTTCTGAGTTCATGGGTGTAAGTGAAAGATTAGCAGTAAAACCCCAAGTTTGCTCACAAGTGTCCTCCTGCATGGTCAAAGGACAAGTTCACAGCCTCCAAGGTGCCCGTTCTCTGGACAGGAGTGACGGGGGCTGTGTGCTCGATGGACACCCACACTGCTCTGGGAGGCCTCCATGCAGCCTGGACTCACTTCTGAGGCCACCAATACTGCTGCTGCTGTGCTCACCTGGAGGGATATTTCCTCCCCCGGCCCTTCCCTCCCTCCCCCCAGAAGTAGACACAGACCTAGCAGAAGAGCAGACCTCTCACATCACAGCTCAGATGGTGCTGCAACGTTAGCAAGAGCTGGCTGGAGGCTCGGGGATAACTGGTCACGTGCACAGGGTACCAGCCACAGGACGCTCGCCAGCTTCACCCCGAGCCTACCTCCATGCCCTGGAAACCAGCTTCTCTCACCTCCCAGGAGTATATCTGAGTCCTGTTAGCCTCTCTGGAATCCAGACCTGAGAACATGAGGCCCAGAGGGAAGAAACATCCCCTTTCACCTGTCTAGGGGTAGCCTTTCTAGGCCTTCCCAGGATGACTGACAGGGCACTTCTACGTATGGGGATATGGTCTTGCCCTGACACCCAATGCCACTTCTTTGCAGGTGGCCTACGTGCATCAGAATCATGTGGAGCTCATGGTAAAAATGCTGATCCTTGGGTTCTATCCCAGACCCATTAGACCAGAATGTGGGAATAGGATGTAGAATCTGCTGGCAGGAGACTGCTATGCCAGTGTGTTCCCTGGTCTTAAATATTAAATATCAGGGACATCAGTAGTACAGTCTGGACTGAGCTTCCCCTGACTTGTCACTCCCGTGTGAAGAGGGGGTTGGGACTTACCATTCTTTAGTCTTGCAGGTCTCAGCTCTAGACCTTCGCTGAACACAGGACTGTGCACAAAGGACTGTGACCACGCAGGCAAATGTGTCCAACACCTCACCTAGAGGCATCTCCCAGCAGGAAACGTGACAGCTGCAGCCCAGCCTCCAGCTGGGCCCCTTGTACCTGATCACAGAACAATAAGTCTTTTTCGGGTCTCAGCTTCTCGAATGTCTTCCTTTCAGAGATCTGCAAATAGAGTCTGGGCTTTTCATTTGCATAACCAAATGATTGGGTCAAGTGGTTTCACTGGAACAAAGAGTAGTCTATACATGCCACGGCAGTGGACAGGAAGGCTGTGCCTTACGGAAAGGGTGACCATGGAATTTCTGGGGAAAATTACACCCAGACCAAAGGTGTATACTGGAGATATACACCCAGATGATCATAGTACTAATGGACCACAAAGATGGTTGCTTTTGTTCGTTAGTTGGCATTGCATTTTTTAAAAAATTGAGCCAACACTTTAAAACTAAAAGTTTCAAATAAAATCCAGATTTCCAGCTTTTCTGGAGAAATCCAGAAGATACCAGCAGACCTGCCCCCTCCTGCAGAGCAACAGCATCACTGGAGCTGAGAGGCAGCCAACCCTGTGAGCCTGGCACTGCTCTCCCAGTGCATCCGCCATCCCCAGCTGGCTGTGCCGTTTGCCCTGTGGTTTTCTTCTGCCAGCTGAGCGCCTCTCGGCCTGCCACTGCTGGACGCTGCGGGCCTCGGGGGTGTGAGCTCCGGTTCACACAGCACAGAACTCCAGTCTTCCTCCTGTGAGGGAGAACAGCAGCTCACAGCCAGGACTACAGCACCTGATTAGCCGCTGTCTCAACAACCACAGACATGCTCTTGTCCATGATCCTTTTAAATGTTTAATTTTAAATGATCAGACGTATAGCTAACTAAATTAGAACTTACTCTAATAGAGAAGAGCAGACTTCCTTTCAGATTTGGAAAGACTGAGGAATAACTTTTTTTTTTCCTCATGAATAGGCCTTAAAATGTAAAATGGCACAAGTTTCAAAAGTTCTACTTTAATTTCTAAGTATCTGCACCTGATGCCTGCTAAAAAAAGTTGCCTCGGGGCCAGCAGGCGCACTGGATAGTGCGCCACTTGGGAAGCGCGGCGGTGCTCCCGCCCGAGGGTTCGGATCCCACATACAGACCGGTTCCCGCTCACTGGTTGAGCGAGGCGCGGGAGCAACACCGAGGGTTGCGATCCCGTTGCCGGTCCCCGGTCCAGTACGGAGGCAACACTGAGGGTTGCGATCCGTTGCTGGACACTGAAAAAGACAAAAAAAAAAAAAAAGTTGCCTAGGTCCCTGCAATTTCTTCAAGTTGAATTTTATTTTATTTTTTATTCTTTGGGCACTGGCTGCTAAGGGAATCACAACCCTTGACTTTGGTGTTATCAGCACCGTGCTCTAACCAACTGAGTTAACTGGCCAGTCCTCAAGTTGAATTTTAGCTAGCATCTTTAGAGTCACACGTAAAACAAATATTTCACTAATGATCTCCAAGAATGCTAAGAATCAAGACCGAGTTCAAAAGAAACAAACCAGCTAACACAGGAAGAGGCATATACGTGTTTCCTAAGTCTGAGCCACTGAGGTGCATCACAAAGAATAGGGTGAGTTATACTAGGTCAGAAGTGCCAGTGTAGGCGGGAGCGCCACCGCACTCCCAAGCAGCGCACTTCTCCAGTGTGCCACCGGGCCAGCCCTCCTTCAGTTATTTTCTACCTACCTTCTTAAAGATATAACTGCTATTAAATGAAAGTAACAGTTGAATGACAGATCACCTTAAGTACATTAAGGTAATTGTTTTAAGTGAAGAACTCCTTTATCTTGAAGGATTCAGAAATTTATTTATTTATTTATTTATTTATTTATTTCAGACAGTCAGTAAATACTTTAATCATACAAGAAGAGGCTCAACATAAAATGTTAAGTTAAAAACAAAACAAAACAAAAAACAGATAATGTGATCCCAAACGGGTAAAGCCGATTTCTGGACATGTCTATCTCTTTACGAATATTCAGAGATAAGTAGGAGAAATCCAGATTGGAATATATCAAAATGTTATTTTGTATTTTATCATTACTTGTATTTTTCCATTTTTCTTTAATAAAAATGTATTTTTCTTGTAATAAAATGTTTATATTGAAACAAAGAGTGCTACATTTATAGTAAAAGCTGGTATTTGACAAAAAGGGACTAAATCTAGGGTTACTAAAGACATGTAAAAACCAGCACGAGACACCAAGAGGAAGAATTTTTTTGAGCCTCAGTTTCTCAGTAAGGAGATGATTAAATATCTCCAAAGAGTTCTAGGTGGTTTGTAATCTTTGAGTTTGGGCTGGGGTTTTAAAATCATGTCCTCTATTTCATCGGGTGAGAGAAAGAGCTTAGGCAAGTTTCATGGAGTCCAGGGGGGCCTTCCAAGTCGTGGGGTGCGGGAGGGTTTGGGGCTGGCCAGGGTGATGGGGGCTCGCTCCCCAGGCAGGCAAGGCAGGCCAGGGGTGGGTTCTGAGAGCCAGCTGCGGCCCTCTTGACGTTCTGAAAGCCCTGCTCTTTCCATACAGGTGCCCAGGGCTCCAGTCTTCTGTTAGGGACTCTGACATCTGACAGGCGTGATGCCTTCCTACCATGATGTCACATTTAACATCATCAGATCAGAATCTGCCCTCTCTCTCCCCTGTACTCTACAGTTAAGAATCTATACTACAGTTCCTTAGGACCCACAGGGAAAAAGAACATGCTTTTGACATGACTGATTTTCACACTGATCTAAAACCCGCTGAGCTCTACGGCTTTATCTTCCACCAAAGGGCCAGGGGAGACTTCCTGCTCTGCCCAGGACTCTGTCGTGCTCTCCTCAGGACAGCCTGCTGGACTGGCTAATGCAAAAGAAGGCAGATCATTTTCTTGTTTTAAATGAGAATAACTGAAGATTTGACTTCAGCTCATTTTATATTAGCAATTTAAAATATTTTTTTCCATCGGGAACCAGAAATAAATCTGTAGGACTAGCCAGGTTTCCAAATACTGACATTAGCTTAACTTGTGGTACAGGCTTCCCAAGGTCTCTATGTCCCCCACCCCTCTGTAATTCGACCTGATCCTAGCTCCTCACTTACTGCAGAACGGAACCCGCATGCCTCTGGCAACTGTGTGTTATTAGTAAGGGATGGTGCTTTGTTATCAGACTGCATTTTATTATTTCCTTCAGCTCAGTGTGTACCTGATATTGGAGGGCTCTCCCTATGGGTTGAGATTGAAAGAGGCTGCAAATGATGTGGTTTTATTATTTTGGGGGGCGCCTGTGCAGGCAGGTGAGAAAGCAGGCACTGTGAAGCTGAAGGACAGGCTGGCGTAGACTTGTTCTGACTGGGAGAGCCCAGTGTCCATGCCCCGCATGGTCACTCCACCTGCATCACATAATGGCCGGGGGCAGCTGCTGTGCTGGATGCTTGAAACGCCAGTTCCACAGGGAGATCAGTAGGCCTTGAGCACGGCTATCCTGGCCTCTTCGCACAGTGGGTCTAGTTTACCATCACCTCCTAGAGAAATAGAAGTAATTTTCTCTTGGCCAGCTTTATATACAATTTAACAGAATATCACACATACATATGGCTTCCACCAGGAGTGCATTTTCAAAAGGCCCACAGGCATGTAAAATGTTAACTAGCCTTTAAGAGAGTATTAGCGAATTTCAAAAGCTTTTATATCCAAGCACAGGGAGGCACGCTTGTGCCAGCCTGCCAGGCCAGAAGCTCTCCAGGGCAAAGGACGCTGCTGATAACGCTGTGCACTGCTGGTGAATTGACTTTAATTGCAAGTCAAGATAGAATAATCAAACGGAACAAAAATTGATTTGAAAGTAAATAATAAAACACTCATGATTAAAGTGCAAAAAGCCCCTTATTCCTAAATTCCATCATACCTTTTGAAGTCCAGGGCTTCACTTCACTTTCTTTCCTCTTCTACCTCCAGTGTTCTGGGAAAAAGCCCAGAGTATCAGGCACTTTACTGCGTGTGGTTTGGGATGCTCTCCTTCATGTCCCACAGCACAGAGGGCTTTTATTATGTTTAAAACTCAGAAAGAAACCCAATTTGAATCCAGGCAGGACACACCAATCATTTCAATTAGAAATTGAGCGACCCTGCAGAGGAGGCGACATGCTGGTGGGAAACCTCGTGAAAGAACTTACCAAACTCCAGGTCCTGGATGCTGCAGTGGAAGATCGCCTCTCCGTTCACCACGAGTTCTACCACATTCCAGTCTTCTATCTTCTCTAGGACGACCTTGTGTCCGTCTCTGGCCAACACAGCTGGAAAAGACAGAGAGGGAACTGGGTGACATGGGGACAGTCTCCAGGTTAACCTGATATGTAGGTGTCCTCACGGGTTACAGCAGCTTGTCTGCTCTCTAGCTGCCCAGGTTGAGTGGGCACTTAACTGGAGCTGGACCCCAGGGGTCCTCACCTTTGCTGGAAAGCACAGCCAGAGGCCTGAGCAATTTAGGGTTTGGTTACAACTTGCCCCAGACTCAGACGATCTGTTAAACGATGAGCTTTCTCTGGGAAAGCGCTATTGCGCTAACCTTAAAGAGGCAATACTCAGTGTTGCAGGGAACTCAGGGGATTAGACAACTTCTTACCCCACTGATAGAAATATAAATTGGCCAGCTTTACGATCTGTTAAACGATGAGCTTTCTCTGGGAAAGCGCTATTGCGCTAACCTTAAAGAGGCAGTACTGAGTGTTGCAGGGAACTCAGGGGATTAGACAACTTCTTACCCCACTGATAGAAATATAAATTGGCCAGCTTCCTGGAGGGCAGTTTGGTAGTACATACCAAAAGCCTCAAAAAATGATTCTAAACTTTGGCCCAGGACATTGCACTTAAAAGAAAGCTTCCTAAGGTAAAAAATCAGAAATACAGGCAGAGTTTTGCAACAAGATGTTCATTTCTGTATTATTACATTAGCAAAATACTGTGAATAACTTACATGTCCAATAACAAGAGGATGGTCAAGGAAACAGTGGTACGTCCATATGATGAGATTTTATTTGCACATTTAAAAAATGTTTATGAACTTTTTTCATGACAAGAAAGATACTTGTAATATAAGCAAAAAGTCAGGATACAAATATGTACAATACATATTAAAAATATATATTCAATAGTAATTAAAAGATGTATGTAAGGAAGAAGAAAATACCAGTGATTATCTCTGTGGTGAGATTGTGGAACTTTTTTCTCTTTATTCTTTCAGCATTTCCAGATTATTTATGTCAGAAAAAAGTGTTTTTTTTAAAAAAGCTAATGGACTGATCTTCTATGCTCACCTTGGGAATGTCACTTTTGGTTATCACTTATATTCAGTGCCTCCTTCCCCAGAGATCAGCCATGGAAAAATTGTTAGATTTTATCCCTACTGTGGGAATGCAAGGTATACATTTTAAGAGAAATGATGTACATTGGGCAGCCTGGAGCTTTTGTTTTCTCCAGCATGTTTCTCCCCCGTTTCTGGATCTGACCACCCTGTAACACTGGGGTTGGAGCTGGTGTGCTGGATCCCCGCCTTTGGCAGTCTTCATATGTTGGTGAGAATTTTGGTTAGGATGGAGGAGAAATCAGATGGGGGGCATGTTTTTTAAAGTCTTAGGGTTTCAATCAGTCTTGGGTGGAGAAAAGCAGACGGTGATGTCAGTTAATTGCATTTAATTACGGAGACAATTGCTGTTTCCCAGTGTTGGTGTGTCCACTTCTTCATCTTTCAATCTGTTCAAAAACACCCAGCCCCAACTGTGAACACTTTAATTGCATGATTTTAGTCTCACTTCTGGAAAGGAACTTCAGAAACAGACTCAGCAAGGATCTCCATTAACACGGTAGCGCTCCTTGGGCACCCAGTGGTGGCCCTAATTGACCTGCGTCGGCTAATTCCTCTCTCTAAAGGATGCCTGCATCTTTGTCTTTGGCATATTGATGTTATTGTATCCTGTTTAAGTGTCTTGTTCTTGAATGTCTTTGAAGAAGGCACTCAGCTCGGACGGATGACTTGTTTAAAAGAAGTAATACAGCTGATGTGGAAGGGCAGTTGGTCACCTAGGGGGACATAAGGGCAGTCTATAGGCAGAGACTTCTGGGATCTCACCCTCCCCTGGCAATACCCCCTCAGGTGGGAGAAGCTGCAAGTGGGGAGGGACAACCTGGCCTCCATGACCTTTGGCTTTGTATTGCCTGAAGACACTCCTGGAGAACGAATTTAAACGTGATAGGAAGAAACTGGGAGCAAAACAGCTTCTCTGTCCTTACCTCACCCCTGACCCCCGCCCTGCACCCCCCTTGCTTTAACACCTAGCACCAGCTCTCCAAGGCCTAAGGGGTTCTGGAGGATAGGAAGAAACTGGGAGCAAAACAGCTTCTCTGTCCTTACCTCACCCCTGACCCCCGCCCCGCACCCCCCTTGCTTTAACACCTAGCACGAGCTCTCCAAGGCCTAAGGGGTTCTGGAAAGAACAAGGAGGTGCAGGGACTGTCTCTGGTGGGAGAGGAGGGGCCCCACAGGGGGAGTCCCAGGAGGCAAGCAGCCCACAGCCAGCCCATGACCCTTTCCCTGAAGGGAAATGGTAGGATCAGGTCTCAATGGGTTTGCAGGTTGTGTTATGAGGACAGTGTCATGCTTATGTGGCATGGTGTAGCTAAGAAAAAGGATTCGATCCACCGAATAATCTCCCTCATGGTTTGGGGGGTGCCGAATAATGGGGTTCACCTCATCTATGAGCAAATGAAGCCCGATAGGAAGAAACCCCCTCAAGAGACCACATCACTCTTTACTCTACCTTCTGTAGGGTTGCAAAGCACAGGCTCTGGTGGCCTTTAAGGGTCTGCATCTTCCTCACTAACCACAATCCCCACTCCTGCCCCTGCCCCAGGTGCCTGGTGTTAACACAGGCTCAATGAATAAGCAAACTCAGAAGGGTGCAGGCACTGCCCACGACTCTTCTGGACCCCCAGTGACATAGGTCGAATTCTTACTAAAGCGATAAGCCTCCTCAGAGTCTATGTGGTGCATTCAGCCTCAGGACACCTGTCCCCTTCCCATCCGTCACAGATGTGTTGAGCCCCACTGTAGGGAAGCCAGTGCAGGCTTAAGGAATCAAGCAAGGAGAAGCCCCGGAATTCCTGCAGCTCATTCAAATGCCACCTCTCTACATGGAGGACCTGTTTTTTCCTATGAGCTGCTGTGGGGCTGTCTAGTCAAAGAAAGGTCAGATAAATATACTCCCTGAAACAAAGTCTGCACAAAGGCAGTGGCTAAACTCCAGCATAAATCAACCAGAAGCTGTAAAGCCACCCGCAGAATGCCCGCCTCTTTGAAGTGGCACCTCATTCTTCATGGGGGATCTAGATAAACTGAAGAGACAGGGAACAGACACCCTCCTCTCAGTGCTGGCGGAATTGTGCACCATCTGTGAATGATTTAGATGCTGCTGGTTAGAAGTCAAGGTATGCAGACAGACCTCTCTCCCTCCTCTACTTAGCACAGATGCAATGCCAAGGACCATTAACGAGTGCAGCTAATGCATAGCTAGGGACAGGGGAATGGCACATAGGTGTTTTAGTTAAATAGGGATGGATTCTGTTTTAAGGGTTGGTTTTGATTCTTTCCAATTCCTCTGAGTGAGTCATTTGGCAAGAGCAACCATGGTTAGGAAAAGTACTTAGAACTTTTTGCTAAGCATTAGTTTAGTTTCACCTAAATTAAGGCCATAGAGGAAACATTTTGGCTGAGCTATTATAACTTGTGGATAATAAAGAAAGAACAAAAATTTTCAGATTGCTTAAGGCATGGTAAGTTCAAGAAAGACCAGGCATATTTTCAGAGCCAGCAGGGCTTCGGGGAAACAATAAAGGTCTATGATTTTTAAAGAAATACACTGAATTCAGATGCAGATTTTACAGAGAAGGGCCTGCACATGTACAACTCCCTGCTTGCTGTGAGGTTGGGGTTGGGTCTAAGTGGGAGGGGGGCTGTGTGGGATGCAGGGGAGCAGATGTTCCCTTCTTTGCTGTTGTTAATACCCTGGCCCTTGTCGCAGGCCCTCAGTAAATGTTGGCTGCCAGGATTATATGAGTTATCATTCATGGACATTCAGAGCTTACTTTACAAATCAACCACCTGCTGATACCATGCAATCCTCGAGTCTCCTTCAACCACAAAAATGCTCTCCTTGATTTTCTCAAAATATTCCTTCTCCTCCCCTCCTGTGGGAAGAGCAGCCTGTGCTCTTCGCTTCCTCGTCTCCACCCCTCCTTCACCTCCTGCAGAGAAGCCTGCAGCCTCGTGTCTCCAGAACCTGCCCTCTTGGAGGCCAAGAAGCCATCCTGTCATCTGCACGCTCAATGGCTCGCCCATCTCTCCCCACCCTCTCTGACCCATCTCCTTTCTTGGTTCTTTAAAACACTTTCGCTGGTATAAAAAAAAAAGAAAAAAAAAAAAAAACCTCTCTCTATATAGATATATATTTTAAATCCTAGAATTTTATCTGATTAAAAATATAATGCAGACTCATGATTTTATTTATTTTTGGCTGCTGGCTGGTCAGGGGATCTGAACCCTTGAACTTACCTTGTGTTATCAGCACTGAGCTCTAACCAACTGAGCTAATCAAGTCAGCCTGGGACTCACAATTTTTAAAAACCTTAAAAATTATAGAAAAGCACAAAAATTTAAAAATCACCCATAATTCTTCCTCCTCCCCTCCATCTCTCTTTGTCTTTTTCAGTGGAAGTGGGATCACAGTGTATATGAAATTCAAGAACACGCGTTATTCCCTTCGTGCTATATTGTGGTCTGTTGAGAAACGAACTGTATTTCCTTTGCTGTCACCCACAACAACCCAACACAGAAGACTTCTGTGACCAAATGTGTGTGGGGGAGTTTCCCCACACATCAAGCAAGCAGTCAGTTTTGCAGCAGACACCAGCTGGGTGTCCTCTAATTCAGTTCAATTACACCACTATCCACCTGTAGATAACATAAGATCACCCAAATGGAGGACTCAGTTGCACAAGACTCACCCCACTTCCAATATCGATTGCAAGCCCTGGGTTGTTTTACCTGTGCTTCTGACCAACAGACTATAAATTGGGGTTCCCACAATAACCCTCCTCAGGTTTAGTTAACTTGCTGAGTGGCTTACAGAACTCAGGGAAACACTTGTGATTACCAGTTTATTATAAAGGATATTACAAAGGAAACACATGAAGAGATGCACAGGGTGAGGTGTGGGGGAAGGGGTGCAGAGCTTCCAGTGTG